GTCCTAATTTATTCTCAGACACATGGGTCTGTTTTGCAGTGAGGTGCCTTGTTTTATAGCCTCGTAAAAAGAAACTGACCCCAAATTTGTTATTAGTATAAAGTAATGCAATGATGTTCTTGTGTAAACTGGCTTTGAAGAATATTCCTCAACTGATATGCCAAAAATGGTGAGTGATTGTGACATTTCTCAAATAAGCATATAGTCTCCAAGGTGATTATTTTGAATGACAACCCTCATGTGGGGTGTTAAATTGACTAGATTTGACAAGGCTGCTGTAGAGCTGAAAGAGCACTGAATGTTGAGTCAGGAAGCATCTGTTGGCATCCCTGCCCTGCATTCAGCTACCTGAGAGACACCATTTGCATTCTGTTGCTACCTGAGGGGTGGTGGAAGTCACCTAACCTTTCTGAACTTCTTTCCTCATTTGTGACACTGTTGGATGACACCCACCGACACTGTTGTGATAATCAAGTGAAGCTGACAGTATGAAAGTGCTCAGAACAGTGAGGCAGTAGAATAGAATGTGATAACTCACTCATAGTTAACCTCCAGGTGAAGTACCACAATCTGAAACCAAGGCCTCCAAGTCATTGGGAAACATCAGTGATGTTAATAATTAGCCTTGGTGAGATATCCCAGAATCACTCGAGTGTGTGAGGTCCAGTTATTTCCGTGCTCAGTTTGATATGTAAAGCCAACAGTAGGATACATTTTTTCAGTTTCACAAGCCCCAGAAGACCAGTGGATACTGCTTGCTTTTGAATACTGGAGCCTGGATCTCAGCAGTTTTCACTGACTCACTTTATCCTTGTCTAGAGTTAATGAGATCATAGTAAACGTACTAAGAACCTGGTGCTTTGCAAACCTTTATGGTATTTTAGAAGGCCAGGAATCAAATCTTATTTATCATGTGTAGGACTAGGCTCGGGGAAAAGTAGGACAATAGTGAGTCCATTCTGTCTGTGGGCTCAAATAGGTCCTTGGAGATGTCTACTGGAGGCAAGACTCTGCTATTGATAGAAGGCAGAAGTGAGAGTCCAGGACTTCTCTCCTTCCTAATCCTAGTTCTTTCACCATAGCTACTTTGAGTTTTTGAGCATCACTCCTGTAGCTCACAAGCACATGGACGTGAGTGCCATTTCTGCCCCTAGCAGGGATAAACAGCTGCATTATGTTAGTCAAGTTAACTAACCTCTCTTTGCCTTGGGTTCCTCATTGGTAAAGTGGGGAAAGTAACAGAACCATTTTTCTTCGTACAGGTAAAGCATTTGTAGAAGTGAGAGAGTGGAAAATGCAGCATTGAAGAGATCAATGCTAAACACAGATTGCCTGGGTTCAAATCCCAGCTCTACCACTCCTCATTTGCTCATATGATCTTCTAAAACTTGGGTAGTTAAGTACTAACCACATAGATTAAATGTGCTAATCCATGGATAGATCTAACAGAGTCAGCACCTAATAAGTGTTATATGGATGCCTGCTGTTATAGTACTTGTTTCTGGGAAGAGTCTCAGATACTGCTAATAAGGATATGGAAATAAAAAATTAAAAATTTCCAACATTATTAATTTTTCTGTGTTTGATTCTATCAAGTATAAAAGTCATATCATAGTAATGTTGGGATTTCCCTCATTATCTCGGCCCAATACTTTGGCCATTTCCCTCATTGAACATTTTCTCTCTCTGTTTTAAGGATTAGATTATTGGTGCATATTTTACTGAGTCTTTATTAAGACTGTCTATTCCCTGATTTACTTCAACTTCAGTATCCCATTCTTTTTTTCTTCCAAAAGCAACAAGTCAATGAATTTTAAAGGCGGTGAACAGAAGGGACTCACACATTGGGAGGATGATAAATGAACTAAACATTTGTTTGGGACAATTTCTGATCCTATCTCTTCTCCCCTTCCCTCACAGCATTCACTTCAATGTTTTTGCCATCCATTTATTCCTTCAATATTTATTGGGAAGGCTTGTCAGGCACTGTGACAGGCAGTGGAAAATCGTGGTTCTGACACTTGAATGGTGTTTTACGGCTTACAGATTGTTTATGTTAAATTTGTATGTTAAATGCATTCGATCCTCTGAGGCGCTCACTTCATTTCACCCAGCTCTTCCTCCCCTTTTAACTTTATATTTCTCATAACCGTCCTCATTCCTGCACACTAAAGATTTGAGTGTGCAGAATATTTACCAAGTGCATGGGGAACACGCTGGAGTGGGAAGTTGGCTGGATGAGAAGGTGGTAGGTGGGGGAGGAGATACGAATCAGATGAGAATGTAGGTCAGAGATGTTTCCAATACCCTTTTAGGATAAAAGGACAAAGCACTCTTATTTAGGAAAGTCCAAAAAGTCACTTGCAAAGGAACAATGCCCATCACCAGAAACTGTATTGAGACTAGACATAGGGCTGGCAATTTCCCATGTCCTCCCTTACCATAAACATGTTTAACATATGCAAGAAGCCAGAGTTATGACCCTCCCTTCCCTCATAAACACTCAGACCCTTAAGTCCCAGCATTAAAGTTCCCCAATTATACTTCCTCTTTCATTTCATGATACCAACCAATAGACAAGAAATACAATATAGCAAATTGACCAGAAAAGTATTCTGTTAGTCTCAGATCACCTGTTTCATTCATTATGATGCTTCTTACACACAACTTAGACTTCAATAGGGAAATACCAATGGCATCCTGCAGATGAACTGGTTATGTCAGCTGGTAGAGAACAAAGGTAGTATGCCGCTTGTGTGTAGGCATGCAGTATCTCTCACATTTGAGCTTATAACCATCTGGTCAAGGGTACTTTGAAGATTCACAGGATATAAGCAGATGGTAACTATAGTTAAATGTCTACTGTGAAATGGACAAACTCATTCCTTACTTAGATGCCTTTAACTTGCTTTGCCCTCTGCCTAGAATGCTCTTCCTCCAGAACTTCCCATGGTTCTCTCTTAAAATAAATATTTTATTTATTTATTCATAAGAGACACAGAGAGAGAGGCAGAGACATAGGCAGAGAAAGAAGCAGGTTCCCTTCAGGGAGCCCAACATGAGACTTGATACCCGGACCCTGGGATCATGACCTGAGCCAAAGGCGGATGCTCAACCACTGAGCCACCCAGGTGCCCCTCTCTCTTTCTTGTTATTCAGCTCAAGTGTCACTTTCATGGAGAGGCCCTTCCAGGCAACCTATATAAAGTATATCTGCACTCTCAGTCCCTCTATCTCATTTCATGATTCTCTTCTTGGCATTTGTCTCTACCTAACATGGACTTACCTATCTATATACTTATTATCTGTCTTCCTCACAAGACTGTAAGCTCCAAGAGGGCAGAGATTATTTTAACACACTGCCTGGAACATAGGCACTTAATGCATATTGGTCAAACGAGCCAGTGAGCAACAGATACTTACTGAATGCCTATTGTATGCCACTGCTATTCTAGAGTGGCACTGGGGATGCGGTAATGAATCAGGCAAACTCTCTGAGCAATTAGAGTTTGCATTCTAAGGCAGGGAAACAAAAAACAGAGAAGAGAAAGCTGCTTGGGTGGGGCTGTCCTATATTAAATAAAGTGGTCAAGGGAAGGTCTTTCTGCAGAGTCCTGAAGAAGGTGAGGAGGGAGGCACCTGAAGAAGATAAGGTGGGAGAGGGTAAGTGTTTTAGCAAAGGGGACAGGAAGTGCAAAGGTCCTGAGAAAACAGGTCCAGAGAAAGCTAGCAAATTCCTGGGTAAGTGGCAGCAGATGGGTGGAGGGGTGCTAGTGGGGCAGCTCCAAACCTGTAGCTTGTTTTTTACTCTTTTGTGAAATGGGAAGCCATTGAGAGGCTTGAGCAGAGACGTGACCTGATTTAGGTTATGATAGGATCCGTCTTTTTTGTTCTGGTGATAAAATATTGTAGGGGACAAAAGAGGATGCAATTAGGAGACCAATGCCATAATCCAGGTAAAAGATGATGGGTGGCTTGGTCCAGGATGGTGGCAGGGAGGTGTGGAAACCTGTTAATAGTCTGGGAGTATTTTAAAGGATTTTAAAAGCAGAACTGAAAGGATTTGCTGGTACAATAAACAAAGTAATGATATAAAAATATGTACAGAAAGAAGACTCTTCTTGGATTTATAGAAAAGAGACTGGTTTTGTTAGGCTGGTGATACTGATATACCAGATAGTAACACAACCACCTAGAAATTCAGCACTGGAATTTGGAACTTTTGTGTCCTCTATTATTTATCCCAAAGAACAAACAGAAAAAGAGTGGTCAAATCTATTCTGTATCAAAATCTGTGCTTGCAATTAAGTGAGCTGGTTTGGGGCTTGATCATATTTCAGCACTCTGACATGAATGAGATAATTGTTCAGAAGACATAAACATTTCAAAGTAAAAATGACACTTACCCGTGAGAAGACTGTAAAGCTCACTGAGTAGTTACACAAAAGGGTAAACATGATTATGAAGAACAAAGATCTCCCCTGATTTATTCTGATTGACCGTCTGAACTTGCAACTCATCTGACAACCGCTCAGACTTCTGACCCTTTGCCTCCTGGGCTACAGGGAAAGAGCTATGGAGCTTATTCAACCTCGCATTCTTCACTCCCTGGCCCTGGCAAACAGCGGTGCACAACAAATATTCACTGGCACGGTGATTTCTTAACGTCCTTCCCCGCCCTCTCTCCTGTCCTCTTTCTGTAGTGCTCGGTACCGCCTTATTTTATTTACCAAAGTCAGGGTCAGATAATCACTCACAAAAAAAATGAAATTTCAGGATGTGTTGGGCGTTGTTAGGCTGGGCCGTGGAGGGCGCCATCCGCGGGGCTCCTCGGCCTGGGAAGCCAGGGAAGGCTGGGGGGGTGGGGGTGGGGTGCGGGAGACGCCTGTGCCTCCAGGCTGCAGGGTGCCAGGTGAATGCAAATGTGGAGGGAGGAGTTACAGCAAGCCAGGTGGGGACCACAGAGGGCCTTCAAACGTACTGAGGCCCCGAGACGGGAGGGCACCTAGAGAACAGCCTGGAATGACCCAGGCGCGCGGGAGGGGAGGCGCACCTGGACGTTTGGGAGGGTAAACTCGCGGGGGCTGACAGGTGGGCTTTCCTGACTATGTTACATCCATCACATCTCGGTTGAAGGCGAGATTCACCAAAGGCTGAAAGGGGCCGGGAGGCGGAGCGGTTACTTCGGCCTCGAGGGCGCTACGGGAGGAGGCCGCGTCCTCCACCCTCCGGGGAACGCGCCACCGAGTCGCCCCTGTAGCCTCCCAAGTTCTGCCGTCACCGCTGCAGCTCATTCCTTCCCACCTCGAGGTCTCCGTCTTCACCCGCAAAGAAACTACCGGTGACAGTTCTACGGCTGGAAACCCAGGTTAGTTTTCTGTGTCTCCGCCTTTTCGAGACTACTGGTTAACCTCAACAGTATCTCGCCGCCTCCGCCCTGGGGCGGCCCCTGAGTCCCTCCAGACTTTTTTTTTTTTTTTTTTTTTGGTCTCTCTGGAGAACTTTCAGCCACTCGCCAGCCGACTAGGGCAGCGCCACAGCTCCGGGGTGCAAAGCAGCGGGTTCCGGGGCGGCCGCGCACGTCTGCCGCCCGGGCAGGGGGCGGGGGTGGGGAGCCGGGCGGGAGGCTTACGTCCTCCTGGCAGGCGGGGTGAGGAGGGGGAGCGGGCGCCTTGACTGCCCCTCCAAAGGAAGCTCGTCTTCCGAGGCGGCCCGTCGGAGGCTCGGCCCACTTCGGAGGGGAAGAAAGTTGGGCGGGAGCGGGAAGGGTTGGAGCGCGCGGGCCGGGCTGGGTGGAGGTGGGGCGACGGGGGAGTCGGGGCGCCCCCGGCGCGCGAGCCGGGGTGGAGCCAGCAGTCGGGCGCGGCGTCAGCGTTTAGGATGCAAATCGATTCCCCGCTCCGCCGTCCCCCACCCCTCCCGCCCGGGGAGCAAGGCTCCGCCGCTCCGCAGCCGCCCACGCCTCCTGCGCGCCGCGGCGCCCCGGCGGGCGCCTCTACTTAAGCCGCGCGCCGGCCGAGCCCCGGCACTCGCCTGGAGCGCGCGGGGGAGGCGGGCGGAGCGCACGGGGCCTCGGGGGCGCACGGCACCGCGGGGCTCTGCGCGGCTCGTGGCGGCGGCGGCGGCGGCCGGGGCGCACGGCTGAGCTAGCGTCCCGGGAGGGCGGCGGCGGCTTGGGTGCGCAGCCCCGCTCCCTGCCGCTAACCCAGACCCGCCACCTCTCTGCCATGGCTCTGGCGGACAGCACACGTGGATTACCCAACGGGGGTGGCGGCGGGGGTGGCAGCGGCTCCTCGTCCTCCTCCGCGGAGCCGCCGCTCTTCCCCGATATCGTGGAGCTGAACGTGGGGGGCCAGGTGTATGTGACCCGGCGCTGCACCGTGGTGTCGGTGCCCGACTCGCTGCTCTGGCGCATGTTCACGCAGCAGCAGCCGCAGGAGCTGGCCCGGGACAGCAAAGGCCGCTTCTTTCTGGACCGAGACGGCTTCCTCTTCCGCTACATCCTGGATTACCTGCGGGACTTGCAGCTCGTGCTGCCCGACTATTTCCCCGAGCGCAGCCGGCTGCAGCGCGAGGCCGAGTACTTCGAGCTGCCGGAGCTCGTGCGCCGCCTCGGGGCGCCCCAGCAGCCCGGCCCGGGGCCGCCGCCGCCGCACTCGCGGCGCGGGGTGCAGAAGGAGGGCTCGCTGGGCGACGAGCTGCTGCCGCTCGGCTGCGCGGAGCCCGAGCAGCAGGAGGGCTCGTCGGCCGGGGCGCCGTCGCCCACGCTGGAGCTGGCTAGCCGCAGCCCGTCCGGGGGTGCGGCGGGCCCGCTGCTCACGCCGTCCCAGTCTTTGGACGGCAGCCGGCGCTCGGGCTACATCACCATCGGCTACCGCGGCTCCTACACCATCGGGCGGGACGCGCAGGCAGACGCCAAGTTCCGGCGAGTGGCGCGCATCACCGTGTGCGGCAAGACGTCGCTGGCCAAGGAGGTGTTCGGCGACACCCTGAACGAGAGCCGGGACCCCGACCGGCCTCCCGAGCGCTACACCTCGCGCTATTACCTCAAGTTCAACTTCCTGGAGCAGGCCTTCGACAAGCTGTCCGAGTCGGGCTTCCACATGGTGGCGTGCAGTTCCACGGGCACCTGCGCCTTCGCCAGCAGCACCGACCAGAGCGAGGACAAGATCTGGACCAGCTACACCGAGTACGTCTTCTGCAGGGAGTGAGCTCCCCAGACCCCCCCTCGCGACCCCAGCGCGCCCGTCCCCCGTCCTCCCTGCCCAGGGGAGCGTTCTAGGTCGCCCCTCCCGCCCCACGCCCTCCCGCTGCCCGGTCCCCCACCTTCAGTAGCTGGGCCAGGCCCACTCACACCCCCCTCCGCCCCCTCCCCCTACTCGAGAACCTGCGGCCGCATATCCTCTCTCGGCTTCTTTGGACCCCGCTAACCGAGAGCCCAGATGTACCCCCTCCAGCGCTTCCTCTGCCCCCTGCCTCAAGCCGCCCCTCCCCTGGACGGTCCTTCGCCCTGGATCTAATGGGGCAGCGCGGCCACAAAGTCACCAAGTACCTGGGGCTGGCAGAGTTGTTCAGAACCCGATTGGACCCTGTCCAGTGTGTAGAAGATTCCTTGACCTCCCAAGCCCTTTTGACTGATGCTCGGTGTAAGAGATCAGAATTGAGAACACTGTCTGGGAGTAGTTAGGGTTTAAAAGGTCGTCACGTAGTAGCCTTCTGACCTTCTTTAAAGGTAGAGTTTTTAAAGGGCTGGATGGAAGACTCTGGACCTGGACTTGGGATCCCGTGGAGGCGGTTCAGTGACTACAAATGAATGAAGTTTTGATAAGTTATAGGTAGGACGTAGGAAAAGAACCTAGTGCTGGCACAACGAAGGATCGAATCTTTTCCATGCACCACGAAAGGTCTTCGCCTGTGGCTTAAACTTGTAGAAAGTCACCCCACCGCCCCACCCCCACCCCCCCCCCCCCCGCCGCGTGAGGACGCCTCCTTTCCCCTTGGCTCCAGCGCCAGGAAGCCTTTAGTTCGACCTGTCGAGGAAGATTGCTGACTCCGACCAGGGCCAGGCAGCCCGGGTCACCGAGCGCTGCGGGAAGTCACCTGGCAGTGCCTGCAAACGGAGCTGGGGAGTCGTGCACGTCGTGGGGATTAGGAAAGCCCGTATTCTTGCAGTGAATTGGCAGTAGGACTTTAGCTCGTAAGACTTGGGGGGTGGGATGGGGAGGGAGGAAAGGAGGGATGAAGGGGTGGGAAGGGAGGAGCAGACACACTCATTTATTATTTGAAAGTTGGAAGTTTGTGCCATCCGTTTGAGTACACGCACATTAAAAAAAATAGTACACAAAAACATGCAAAGCATTTTATAAAGATGAAGAACAGATTTACTCTTATCTGGCAGTTTATTGAACTAACTGTTTTGAGTCCTAAACTTAGAAGTTGCTGATACTTATATAACCTAACCAAAGAGTTACCCAGTAGTTTTTGAACTTAAGTTTAGCCTTTTTTTTTTTTGAACTTTATCTTCTTGTTGATTATAAGTCTTGATTTTAAGATCTAGTAACGAGCAAAATGTTTGATTTTTGGTTGCTTAAACTTCAGATTTCTTCTTAAAAATCCTCATTTTCCTCAAACCCAGCCAATGTTGACTTCTGGGCAAACCCGAAAACCTGAAAATGCCACTTCTTTCATGCAGACTGGTTGAAATTAAGGTGGAATCTTTTTGAGTGACAGAGCTGCAGAGATAGAAGCCCCAAGCTGCCCATCTGTAGATAGCTATACAATGAAATATTTTTAAAAGAACGCAAAAAAAAAAAGTACTTACAAGTGGGCTGAGCAATAAAGTAGTGTTTTAGGTAAATGCAAGAGAAACAGAAGGAGACCTGGTTGCCTTATACCTTTACTCCAGTGGAATCAATTCCCACTGCATATCCTATCTACACCTTAGGTGAAGGGAAGTAAATCCTTGTCTTTCATGCTGTGAGGCTCCTTTGGATATTGTGTAATGACGGAGAAGCCTTTCTTTTTTCATTAGTTTCAGCAGTTTCTCTGAAGTATGTTTTTAAAGATTTTGTAAGGGTCGTTTTCAGTGTTCAAATTAGTGCTATTTTTTCTTCTTTTTAAAAATGAATCTTGTACTGTAATCTTACTATGTCCATAACAGATACTAAGAATGGGAAGTTTTATTCTTAGACTCATGTGATCCAATCTGTATATACCATATATAAGCATTTTACACGAATCATTTAGTTTTTTAATTAATTTACTAATGCTAAAAAATTTGCTATACTTACCCCCCCCCCCCCCAGTAACGTGCATCAGATGGTGTATATACTAAAGCAACATGTTTTCATGAGTTTCTTAGATCCTTGTCTCTGGGGACATTGGGTTAGGAAAAAAAAATACATCATTATAAAACAGAGTTTGCTCCATACTTTTTTCCTTGGCTACTAGTTATATACTAATAATGTGTCAGTTAACTGTCCACTTAAAATCAAGGTACCTGTATTTTTAACCCGCTAATTCTTTTTTTTTTATTGGTAAACAGAAAGATTTGAAGTCTTTTCATTGGAGTTACATTTTTAAAAAGATAAAGTTAGCTTTATGTATAAAGACTGAAATTGTAAGGGAAATGGAAGCAAAAATCCAGGAAGTTGTGTTCGCTTATACGTTGGGTGTGTTCTCAGAGTAGGTAGTGCAACAGAACTTATCTGTTTCAAGCCCAAAATGATTTAGCAAATTTGCTTTCTGGACAAAAGAGTGTGTCGGAGATTTCTCCACCCTCTATGCTTTTCTATTAGATCATGCAACAAAAAAGCACATACTTGACAGCATCTTAGGACAGATCAAAACCACTGACAGATGCCAAGACACTGGGATTCTTATTTTTCTTGTTAAAACTGCACAGCTCTGGGAGTCCTGGGAAACTGCTAAAGTTTTGTTTATGCCACTCAAGTCTTATGGATTTTATCTTGTAAAACTTTGAGTTGAACTACTGCACTTCTTTGGGCGTACAGATCTTACTTCCTTACACACTCTGGCTGCCCTGCCGTGCTCCCCCTACCCCTTTCATTCCATGAAAGACTGGGAATTCAAATGGGTGGAGACCTTAAACTGACTTCTTTTCCTACAGTTGACTGTCACCTCTAAAGTTGACAGTCGAAAAATGAAAATACTCTACTGTTAGCCCAAAGTAGAGACTGGCTGGGAAACTCTACACTAGATGGATAATATAACTGTGGCAAGAGGGACTTAGCATGGATATTTTTGGGTTCCTTCTCCTCTGTGCTGTGGGCTACAGAAGGACCCTTCGTGGTCTACAAAGTAGTAGAGTTGTCACCTCTGAGTTTGGACAGGGTATTGAGGGGTTCGTACGTGTAAGCCCTCCAAAGATAGCATTCACATAACCTGGGAGAATGTCGTAAATTATTCAGATAATTAGGACTGCTTTAAGCTGACCCAGCATAGCATGCATTTACTTATGGCTTTAATTACCATTTGGTTCCTAAGTACAAGTGAATGACATGAGGTTTAACAAATTTCATTAAAAAAAAAAAAGAATTGTTGACAGTGGTTTAAAAAAACAGGTACCATATTCAATGCTTTTGCACCAGGTGTTGAGTAAGTTGCTTATTTTTAATACATGTATATCACAAACCATATTCAGTCTAATTTTTTCAAATTGTATGTTGTGAAAAATATTCCTTGGAGATGTGAGACTTAGAATTTTTTTTTCCCTTTCAGTACTGTTTTTATTCTTGTGTTTCTTACTTGTTTTTTGTTTTTTTGGCATTGATAGCAAAGTGAAAATTTGTAATTCTAGACAAAATTGTCTTCTCTTTCAAACCAGATCCATATATGGGGCCTGTTACTTCTCTGAGGAAATGCATAATCTAAATTCTCAGACAAAAATGGGTGACTGGCGATGCTCATAACATATTCCAATTTTTATTGGAATTTTCCATGGAATGTTATTACATTGAAGCCATGTAAGGTGAAGCTTTGATAGTTTTTTACTTTTTAAATTATGGTAAATTCTAATCTAATGTTCAAAACATTTTTGTACTCCACATGAAAAATGCTAAATTATAGTGCAAGTATTTGGAAAAGTATTGACTGGAGGGGTTGAATTCTGTAAGAATTTCTTTTATAGTCTCAATCGTAAGTACTTTACTCAATTGACTTAAATTTCTAAAATAGTAAACTGAATATTTTTTAATGTAAACTTAGCTGAGTAAATCCTTTGGATCTTTTGTTGTTTTTTCCTTACTATAACTCATTTTAAAACTGAATTAGTTGTTAAGTCTGTCTTTTGAGAATAAATAAAATACTCTTGGGTTTTCAGTGGCTGTAGTACCTGATACAGGATTTCCTAGAGTCAGAAACAAGTTATGTTGAAGTTAACTTTTCTTTGTCACAATTTTGGACAATAAAAATATAAACATATTTGAATTTGAAGATTTAAATTCTCTACTGGGGCCCTTAGATGGAAGAAATCCAAGCAGACTATTTACATTAGAGTTTAATCTTGTGTGGTAGGAAGATGAATAGTTGACCAAGAATTCTTGTCACCTTATACATTTTGTGTGTCCCCTCCACCACAGGCCAAGTTTTTTGTATTTTAAATGTATTTTGAGGTATGTAGTTTAATTACAACATTAATTGTAATGTAAACTATTATACAACTGTCTTTGTGACTTTATAGACAGGTGAATTTTGCTATTACTATTGAATACTAATGATAGTTCTTTTATGACCACTCAAACATCAGTAGTGACATTTAATGACAAAAGTTTAAGATGTCCATTGTGGATGTTAATTTTGAAGACATAAACTATATATTATTTAAATTCTTCCCTACATCTGGAAAAACTCTTATCTGCTAAACAATGTAACAATGTAACAATGTAATGTAAGATTCCCACAGAGCTCTCTGGGATTATGCAATTGTTGAAAACATTATATACTAAGTGATACATATCACGAGCCATTTTCTCAAAATAGAAGGGGAAAGGAGAAAAAAATTGTAACAATTATCAGACTTTTCTAACGAAACAGAAAGCCAAGAAAAAAAATCCCTCTATATTTTAAAAGAGATATTTCAGACATGTTCAAACTTTAAGTGAGAATTTCTTCAACTCTCTAAATGCTCTAGAGATTTTTGTTCTCTCCATTCACAACCAGTTGTATAATAGGCCTACTCGATACTGTTTTCCCTGTGTGTGAAGTAATGAATCATTGATTATGTGACTTGTTATGTATCCTATTAAACACTAAGGAATAAAACATTCACTCCTTTAATTATTCCTTTTGGCTCCTGAATATGGATTGGCTTGAACACTGGTCTGATTTCATTTAATGGGTTAAGTACTGGGACCACTGGGAGCTCCGTGGCGATGATGAGCATTATGCCATCAGAAGGACTCCTCACTGGGTAATTGGTCAGTTTGGCCAGAAGTGAACAGGCTCTTCCCCCAGAGGTTATTGTGGACAATGCCTGTTGTCAGGGTGGGTTGGTATTCAATGTGGAGGAAGAGTCCTTCACATTTTCTTTGACCTCAGTCTTAACAGCATATGCAAATTGTTTTGAAATGGGGAATGAAGGTAGAGATACCTTTTAAAGTTTGGGGTGAGGTGGGAGAGCACACCTGGATGGTTCAGTGTGTTAAGCTTACAACTTCAGTTTTCAGCTCAGGTCAAGATCTGAGGACCCTGATATCAAGCCCAGTGTTGGGCTCCACGCCCAGTGTGGATTCTCTTTCTCTTTTGATCTCTCTCTGCCCCTCCCTGGCTCACACTCAGGTGGGCATTCTTTTTTTTTTTTTCTGTCTCTCAAAAAATGATTTTTTTTTTTTGGTAGGGAAAAAGAAACAGGTGCTTTGAGACACGCCTTAATTAAAAGTACAATTCGTAAAGATAAAATTCCAAAGAATGTTGGAAGAGGAGCTGCATTTTTATTATAGGGTCTCTTTCCTGCATCCCCTCCATCATTGGTGTCCCTCCTCTTGAAAGAGCACAGTGACTGAGAAATCACTCAGCTAAAGGCAGTGCCAGCAGCCTGGTCTGCTGGGCTGTGGCACCGGAAGCCAGGAGTGGCATGTGGAGAGTGAGCGGGGCTTTGCCCTTCCTCTTTGCTTTTGCTTGTACTTCCTCTAGATAGTTTTTGTTTTGAAAGTATGCATGTTTAAGTATAAATGCACACATTGCACACATAAACCATTCGTTTTTTGAAGAGTTTATGTGAAAAATTTAAGACAATTTTTGTACATAATAAGTAAATCTCCCTCTTCTGGGATAACCCCTGGAGGGGCTTCTTCCCAGGAGGTAACCATTGGTGTGTTTTTGCAGAGAACATATATATTCCTCCCTTTTTTTCTATTCAGTAGGAATTATACCTGCCCTGCTTTCTTCTTTGAACCACACATTCTGGAGTTCTTGCAGTGCCTGAGTGAACACGTAGCAATGATCTACCTCATTTTCCTTGGTAGCCACGTGATAATGTACATGATAATGTACATGATGGGTCTAGATGTGCTGTCACTTATTTGACCAATCCTTTCTTGATGGGCATTTAAATTTTCAGGTTTTGTGTTTTTACTCCAGAGAGTGCTATACTGAATATCTTTTCACATATATGGAAATATAGGCGTCTTTTCTATATCAAGTGATGTCAAGAGAGAAATCACCTGTAGGTGCTATTTTCTTCTGTAGTGGCTATGGAAATGGTAGGATTCATTGGTAGATGTGTGTATGAGTTGGGAAATTAAGTCATTTAACTGGCAGATAATTTACAAAAATCTGTTTCATTTTATGGAAAAAATGATAAAATTGCAAGAGTTTCAAAGACAGAACTATAAACATTAAAGATACTCTGAACTTGTAGAATCTTCAAGACCGTTTGCCATCCTCTGTCATTAATGACTTGGTGGGGTTGAGAACTTCTGCTGGGCTTATTTCTTGATGAATAGAGAAAATGTTAATCTCTTAAATTCTCAGCTTTATTCTGCTCACATAAGAAGTTTCAAGGTCAGTGGTCCTTTGGGGCCAGAATGCACCTGTCTTTCCAATCACAGATCCCCCAAAGAGTGGCCTATGGGGCGAGGTAGAAAGAAAGCATTGAGGGGCCACTTTAAGCCATGAATTCTTAGCTTGGCTGCTGCAACTTTTTCCCACGTACAGTCATCCAGCATTCATTCATTTATTCAAAATCTCTTGAGTACCCACTGTGTGCCAGACTGTGCCAATCTGATGAGTAAGGTGCCAGAATGAGTAAGCACTGAGCGTTAGAAGGGAGCCAAATAAGAGCTTGCAAGTACAGTGCTAGGATAGTCTGAGTAATTGCTGGAGAAAGAAGAGGGGTACTTAACTCAGCCTTCAGCTTCCTGGAGGAGTTGGTGCCAGAAGTGAGGGGGAAAGATAAAGAAGAGGAGGGAGGAGGGGCCTCCTAAGTACAGGCCAGCTTCCTGAGCAAAGACCTGGACACAGTGAGAACCAAAACCTCACTGAGGGGGAAAAAAAAAGTTCCCCGCCCCTGACAAACAAACCAAAAACCAACCAGCCAACCAACAAAACAGCTGGAGTAGCAGTGACAGCCAGAACCTCAAATACCATGTTAAAAGATATGGATGTTAGTTAATTCTTAGTGTTTACTGAAGAATCTTAAGGTGTGAAATAAGAAAAAAAAAAGCCACTTTTTCAAAGACCACTGGAGCTCTGTGGCAATGGTTTGGTGGGCAGAAGGGATTAGAAACCAGTTAGGCAGCTGTGTATGGGGTCAGAATTATGTGCATTAAGCCATGTGCAGAGCACCTGGCTGCAAGTGTAAGTAAGGTTTTACTCCCCTTTCTCCTCTCTTTGAACCTCTCAAGCCACACAGTTTTTCTATGAGATTTGCTTGCAATATATTGGGAGCACCATGTCCAAATGAGGAACTCTTCTGTTAATCCCTAGGTCTGAGAATCATGAGGCACATTGTGGAGTCTTTGAGAGACCTAGTTATTCAATAGGCACTTTACTGAGCATCTGTTATAGTGTAAGTACTCTGAAACATCAACTCAACCTTTCAGCTTCAACTGTCACTCATTTAGTCCCCAATATATTTGAGACACAACAATCTCATTTCAGGTATGTTTTCTTTAACAGTGGAGAGCAAGATGGTAAACTGGCCAGGTAAAGGGCCTTTACTTCTGACACTACCAGAAGTCCTGGAACACTTAGCGCTGTCAGGTCATATATACTTTGCAGAGTTGGAGTTTTATGAACACCACCTTTCCCCCACAATTCTTTTAAATACACTTAATAGCTACTGAGAATGATTTTTCCTCTTGTCTTTCAAAGTGAAACAGATGAAGCATAGGACTGCTGAGCCAGAAATGGTGTGGGAGGGAGGGAGAGGATGCTGGAGGTAGGCGATGTCAACCTTGGACATCGGAGGGGTTCAGGGTAAGGGGCATTCTGCATCAGGGGTGGAGGGTGGGGGGTGGGGATGTTCCCCTGGACTTGCCCTGACGTGGGTGGAGGAGGAGAAGGTTAAGAAGAAGAGGTCTATTGCTCTTGGTTAGAATGGAGAAATGATGACCGTCCCAACCTGCTGGAATACATGTTGTCTTGTTATTCATTTATGTGCAAAGCTGTAGTGCAAGTGAGATAAAAGCATAAGAACAAGAAAAAAAAAACGATGAAGCACAGTAATGACAGATTATAAGATGAGTTATTTGGGCTTCCCTTTTGTTTTAGTAACAGACAACATTTCCCAAGTTCTTTACAATTGTTCCTCATTAATTCATTCTCTCTCTCTCCATTCTACTACTTTCCAAGTGGGTGAGGGAAAGAATCTAAGGGTTAAAGCAAGCCCTACTTTCTGTAGATAGAAGGAAAAGGACAGAAGAATATTTTCTTCTGCAGCCTTTATCTGTCTTTAAAAGCATTGAATGAAACCACACAATTCAGAGGGAGTGGAATGTGAAGGCCATTGACTTGGATTTTAGCCTCCCTGGTGACTTGGGCTGCTTGCTTCTACTTCATGGTGTGGTTTTATTTTATTTATTTATATAAATTTATTTTTTATTGGTGTTCAATTTGCCAACATATAGAATAACACCCAGTGCTCATCCCATCAAGTGCCCCCCTCAGTGCCTGTCACCCAGTCACCACCACCCCCCCGCCCACCTCCCTTTCTACCACCTCTTGTTCATTTCCCAGAGTTAGGAATTTCTCACATTCTATCTCCCTTTCTGATATTTCCCACTCATTTTTTCTCCTTTCCCCTTTATTCCCTTTCACTATTTTTTATATTCCCCAAATGAATGAGACCATATAATGTTTGTCCTTCTCTGATTGACTTATTTCACTCAGCATAATACCCTCCAGTTCCATCCACGTAGAAGCAAATGGTGGGTATTTGTCGTTTCTAATGGCTGAGGAATATTCCATTGTATACATAGACCACATCTTCTTTATCCATTCATCTTTCGATGGACACTGAGGCTCCTTCCACAGTTTGGCTATTGTGGACATTGCTGCTATAAACATCGGGGTGCAGGTGTCCCGACGTTTCACTGCATCTGTATCTTTGGGGTAAATCCCCACATGGTGTGGTTTTAATCTTCACTAAACCTTGACATTGATTTGCCCATTTATGGGAGGGGGGGATTTATTTCTTTTTATTTGCCTCAGGCGCTCAACACAAACCTAGCACATAATAGATAATCAATAAAAGTTTGTTGAATAAGTGAATGAATGCTAATGTTAATTCATTCTTTTTTTATTAGGGAGAAAAAGAACTAACTGAAAATTTGCCCTTTACTTGTTTTTGGTGACACTACTAAAAATCAATAATCTCTCTTTATATGTATTTTTTGAGAAATTTTAACTCCAGTTTCGTAAATAAATAAAAATGACTCTCCTTCTATCTGACTTGAAAGCCAGATTATGAGAAGACCTAAACTAATATGGGTATTTTATTTTGAATAGTTATTAGGTGGCAGTTGTTCCAAAATCCTGAATCTTGACAGTGTTTGCATTTTCCGATGAAAGTCAAGTTCACTGAGAGCCATATTGTAGACTTTCTTCCAGGGCTATTATTTATAACAAGTTTTCAAAATCTTAACTGGAAAGTTTCAAGAGGTGCCTCTTAAGAGTTGAAGGAAAGAAATTTGACCTCCCTGGAACACTGGAGTATAGTGTTCCAAATGTTCTGCTGGTGAGGGTTGTGGGTTTTTAAAATGACAGTTGCAAGGAATTAAAAAAATGATCTGTGCAGTGATGCTCTGACCTTACAATAGTGGGCATTCTGTTTTTCT